GTCCCACGGTAAAACATACGATAAGTACACTGAAAAAAATTCTCTACGATTTTGGCTGAACACACCACCGCTGAAACGGTTCAGCCAAAATCGTAGAGAATTTTTTTCAGTGTACGTAAGATACGGGATGCTACTACTTACGACTGAGCTATTCACTGTGAGAATAGCAAGTGGTGCCCTCAGCTCATGGCCAGTGCTTGTACCACGGAGGGACGCCAGTGGCATTAAATCCACGTAGTTCATAGATATCTTTGAATGTCCTAAAAGTTAAGCATTTTATGGTAAGATATGAAGCGTAAAAGTTATGGGAAATTCAGTAATGAGTAAGTACCTTTTTATTTCATGTATTTCAAAACAGGCGTTTTCGCAATGCTCCTATATATATTATATGATTAAGCAGACACAATGTATAGTTCTTGCTTGAGTTTATCAAACTTTTAACGGCTGTAATGACAGAATGCCAGCACTGATTGACATGAGATAAAAAGGCACTTTTTAATAATTCAATTCACTATATGTTTGACGCTTTATCTATTACCATTAAATGCTTGCTTTTTTAGATATTTTAAGATATCTACAAATTACGTGCATTTGATGCCCTGGTAGCCCCCTGTGTTTCACTCAATCGACACCATGGGCGCTGGTGCATATCGTTTTATCTCCTTCAGATATATTATCAGAACGAATAAGAAAACTGACTTTAATTTATTGCACATATTGTTGTAATGGCCTCTGGTAATAGTTGGGAGGATATGTCAAATAAATTAAAGCTGTATCTAAATTATGTTGCATGCATAATAGATAGCTTTCAAAAAAACCAGTATTTAATACAGAAGAGTCTAAATTGACTTTTACAAAATATACTGATAAAATATCTGGTAATTTTATTATAAATATATATCAATTTATTTCTAGTGCAAATGATGATAAAACTTAGGAATAACAATAGACCAGTATTTTACGTGAAGTCAGCACACTGAGAGAAAAAAACTATATTTTTTATCGTTATTGTCCCTACAAAAATTGCCACGTTTACCGTAATAGTAGGGCAAAGCGACATCATGGGTGCCCAACAAAGTTTTCTTCTACTTCTCTTATCTATAGATAGATGATTGCAATGTGGTATATGTTCATCTCACCCGTACCTGGAGATAAAATCATGAAACGATTTGAAGAAAACTACACACGTTCCTTATTGTTCTTTGTACAGCATTGTTTAATCAGGTCTCAAGAATATGTACATACATTTTCAGGTCATAATATTGAACGAAAAACATTTGAGAAGCTATTTTGCTTAAGATGCATACAACAAAGTCCGCGTATTTTACGAAGTAGCTTCCAAAATGTTTTGGAATCGATATTATAACCTGAAAATATATGCAAGTGTTTTTGAGACCTGATTGAGAAATGATGTACGAAGAAAATTATAAATTTCGAAAATTCACAACAGACTTTCATTGACTAAATACGGAAAATGTGACATTTTTTTCAAATCATGTCATGATTTTATTTTCGAGCGCAGACGAATTAAGCGTAAGGTAAAAGCACCAGTACGTGAACACTTTTTCCATAAAGTCTTTGTTTTCTCATTTTTATTGAATTTCTGATTTGCATAACAACAAAACAGTCATTGCGCCAGTAAGTTTATATTTTTTCCTTTAAAAAAAAAAACAAAAAATTTTTTCTAGGTTATGTGTACAATTAATAAATTAATTTTAAAGTTTTTTTACCAATGACCGAGTAGATGAACAGCGTGTTTAGGTATTGGTACCGATACGTATTTTTGACCGAGTACTTGAACATCCCATGTTAATTAAATGGGAGAGAGGTTATGTTAGCTGCCTTCTACTGATTTCTATTTTTGTTATGTATTGCAAATAACCAAATCGAAAAATTTCTTTCTAATTTCATTGGTAACATATTATGAAAACTATAACGACTGGCTTGACATACTATTATTATTGATTAACAGGGATTTCAATCGTTTTTATGTGTTCGAGTACTGTGCATAGGTAAAACCTAATGGTACCAGTACCTGAACAGTCTCACAAGCCACCTCATACAAGTTGCACGAATAAACAATTTTTTTCTCGTTGAGTAGAAAGACTTACTGAAAAATAAATTTTGTTTTATCTAAAGAACAATCAAAGGATATCAGGAAAAAAATTTTTTTTATCTTCTAAAATTGAAAATAGTTTATTCAAGCTGTTCAATCTACTGGTGCAATTTTAGGAAATGTTTACGTACTAGTGCTTTTACTTTATGCCACATTTCAATAATCTATCTATGTATGTAAGTGGCAGGGAAAATTTTTTTGGGTACCCCACAATTTTTTATGTCATTTTGTTCCCCGATTACAGTTAGTATGGTCATTTTTGTAAGAACACTCACGATAAATATTATAATTTAATAAAAACTCAAGTGATCTCGCTATCCATTTGTTTATTTATTGCACAAGACTACTTGAGTTTTTATTAAATTGAAACTTACAGCTTACGACTTCCCTTTCTTTGAGTATAACCCCGGTTAATTGGTGGTGGTAACAATCGGCTAAGAATATTATCTGTACCGAGGAAACTCTAAGATTAGGAACCAACACGCAAACAATGATAGTGTTTATATGTCGGAGGGCGGGTTCGTTGCCCTGTGTAAAAGAGCGAAATTGCTCAGATTGCCGATTATATACAATATTTAAAATAATTATTATCAAGTTTCAAAATTTATCTGTTGAATAATCAATTAATTCCTG